CCTCATTTTTTCAAACTCTTGAGAAGTGTATTCAGTTCCATTATCACTTCTCAAGGTTTTGATGGTTTTCCTTGTTTAGTTTTCCACCTCCTGTTTGAACCTTTTGAATACTCCAGCCACCTCATTTTTCTGCCTTAGAAAGTGAACCCAGCCCATCCTAAACCAATCATCTGTGAACAATACAAAGTGTTTACTCCCATTAATTGATGAGGTTTGCATGGGGCCACACACATCCGAGTGAACAAGCTGGAGTTTTTCAGAAGCTCTCCATGCTTGATTCACTGGCAAAGGTTTCCTACTCATTTTGCCTAATTGACACACTTGACAAACACCTCTCGGTTGTTCAACAATGGGCAGATTCTGGACTAAATTTTTTGACTGAATTTCCCTCAGATTTCTATAATGTACATGGCCTAATCTCTTGTGCCATATTTCAGTTTCATCTTCTCTAACATTACATGCTTTGTGTGGAGTAATTCTCCACATAATTGGAAAGCTTTTCCCCACCAATATTTTCACTCTCATAATCTCACTTCCCTCACTGTCCTGGATAATGCAAGATTGATTTTGAAAGTGTATTGCATAATCTTTTTCCAACGTTTGTCCCACACTCAAGAGACTTTGACTTATATTAGTTGCATAAAGTACATTTGAGATTAGTTTTGTACCTTTTAGAGTCTGAATTGCAACATCTCCTTCCCCACTTGCTTCCACAAATTCTCTATTTCCTACTTTAATCCTTGACCGATGTGAGTGATCTAGGTTCACAAAACTATTCAAATCTGGTGTCATATGATGTGTACATCCATTGTCAATCAACCAGGTATCATCACACGCTTGGATCAAGCTGGATAAGGCCACAAATAGATGCTTTGTCTCCTGCCCCAATTGTTGTTCATCAGCTGTTTAAGCTTGCTGTTAGGACTACTCTCCCTTGTTTTTGCGTACTCTTTCGATGTGGCCAAATTTTTTGCAGGCCCTACATTGTATTCTAGGTCTGAACCAACATTTGTGCTCTACATGTCCCTTTTTTTTATAATGAGAACAAGCTGGAAAATTCTTTATTCCACCAGCTTTGTTCCATTGACTGTTGGACCTTTCTTTTCCTCTCTTTTCTCTAGCAAACCTTCTGTTGTTTCCTTACGCAGACTTGCCCTTGTGAGTTGCTAACATTGCCCCTTCATTCGCATCCTCTAACCTTAGGAGCCTTCTCTGCTCTTGTGCCTATAGAGCATCGACCAGCTCAGTCAATGTGATCTAAGTTAAGTCCTTTGAGTCCTCCAAGGATGAGATCTTTGCTTCAAACCTTTCCAACAAGCTTACCATCACCTTCTCCACTATTCTGCTGTCTGACATCTCCACTCCAATAGCCTGATTTTGTTAACTATATTCATCAGCCTATCAACATATTCCTTCACTTTCTCAGCCTCCTGCATTCTTAATGTCTCAAATTCCCTTCTCAAATTCAGAACCTGCATGTTTCTTATAGTATCACTTCCCATGAACTCCTCCCTTAACTTGTTCCATGATTCTTTGGCTGTTTCGCATGCCATGATCCTTGTAAAAACAAGGTCTATGACAGCTGAGTGAATATGAGACAAGGCTCTTGGAGCCTTTGAAACTTCCGGATTTGATTAAGAGTGAGGTTTGGTCCCAACTGAGGGGGTTGTTTCTCTTCTTCTACATACTGCCAAAGTCCTTGGCCCCTTAGGTATGCTTTCATTTTGATAGACCATATATGGTAGTGTTCACCATTAAACACAGGAGGTAGAAGGGAAGTTGTTGGAGTGGCCATTTGTTCAAGAAAAACATGTCTGATGCAGGGTTGTTTTTGGAGAGACAAATGAGTTGATCAGGAGAAGAAAAAACATTCAGTTTTTTATAGCTAAAGTAACTCAGCTCTGATACCATGTTGTTGTTACTCCACCGAAGAATACAAAGAAAAGAAAGGCAGCAACTTTTGAGAATAAAGAGAGTTGTATTTTTTGTGCATATTCAACTAAGATTACAGCACAACTAATAAAGCAAATATCTTACTGTTTACACCAACTTTGCAGACATATTATATCCTAAATTAATCTAAAGCCATACATTAATACCAACTTACAACAACCATTACAAACACATCCCTTATAACCTGACAGTACATATCTAACCATTACAAAATGAATTATACTTTGCTACTTCACAAAATGGACAAACGGCAGGTTGCATTTCTGTTTTGGCACCAGAACATGTTCAAAAACAAACTAGTAAACTGCTACATTTCTAGCCAGTTATCAGTATTCAACAAACACCATACATGGCAGCAAAGCTAAAACTAACAAAAATGCTGACTGCAACGGCAAAAATTGGAATGATTGTGAATTTGTGTCGTTATTCATATAATAAAGTATTTTTATTGGTTAATCAATTTCCAATTACAAGATTTATTATTAGCTGGCTATAATTGATTATTAGTGATTGTATTAGTTTCAAAATAATAATAATATGTATTAAACCATAAGTCAAACCTCTGCCCCATTAGTATGATAAATAGATTTTTAATATATATATATATATATAAATTAAGGTTTTAGACTTAGTTGGGTTGGATATATAATATAGAGTTAAATTAAATTCACATTATTAGAATATTAAAGAATAATGCAACATAATATTGAAATTAATTCATACGTACCTTCATGGTTTTGTTGGAGAAGATGAATGATGAAGAGAAAACTGAAAGGTGAAACTGTAATTTGGGAAGAGACATTGGTGTTATTTATAGTTGTTATAGGAAGTCATTGGTCGAGTACTTACAAAAGGAAAGAAATGAAGAGTGTAGGTTTGTGTTATGTTCAATGTTAAGGGCTCTAATTAATATCCAAATATGCCGTTTTGGTCGCTGATTACAGCCTCTCTAGGGTTCATGTAAGAAGTCATTATAATGATGAGTAAATTAATTAGTTAAGCTTCTACTGTCTGATTAGAAAGTTTGTAATTTCCGAAGCATGGAGGTGACATTATGACATGATAACATAGATACCCGACACGTCGGGGTTTGGTTATGAATTAAAAGGATTTGAAGTTTCTAAATGGATAAGACAACGTCTTCTTTTTTTTATTTTTTTTGGCTGAGGAAACTTTTTACTTTCTTTCTAGTTTTCGATGGAGGATAGATTGCTTCAGCAAAATAATAGAAAGTTAAGCCCTTAAGTCAGAGTTTCATGAAAATAATTTGGAGCCAGGAACAGTTTTGGGTTATATTTTTCATTTGGGCTACAAACACAGAATAAATCATTTGTATTGGTATTTTTCATACAGGATATATATATATAGGAGATTGAATAGTTAGCCTCGGTTTGGTTAGTTATTTAGAATTGCGTTCTATGTTGAGTGGTATTTTTGAAAAATAGAATAGGATTACAAGAAGTTTTTAGTATATTTTTTAAAAAATATTTAGATTATTTTAACTTCCTAAGTTTATTAATTTAACTAAACACCCCCAAAAATAAAAATTTATAAATTAACAAAAACACCCCTATCTACCTACATATTGTTGGTAGTCGGCTACCACTGTCGATTGTAGTCCAAATTTGCTAGAATGACGCACAAACAGTTGGATCTGGCCGATTGTGCGTCAATTTGGTATTTTTTGGCCAAATCCACCGAAAATGGCCAGATCTATGGCCACAGATTTGGTCATCATTGATAGCTATATCTTGGCTATTGTTATGGCCAGATCTTTGACTATTGTCAACGGCCAGATCCATGGTGCGTCTGGCCGAAAATGGACAAATCGGTGTACGACTGGTCAAATCTAGTCAATCATGCAGCGATGGTGGCGATTGGTGGGTGATAATGGCTTGGGTGGATAGGGTGTTTTTGTAAATTTTAAAACTTTAATTAAGAAAAGAATTATTAATGTTTTGAATTGAATATAATAGAATTAGTTTTGAGAATATTAAAACAAATTTATTTTTGGTTTTTTTAGGATAAGATAGTGGGAAATAGTGTGCCAAAGGGACCCTTTTTTGGGAAGCTACCGTTGGGATTGATCAATTACCAAAAGAACTAAAGATTTGAAGTTGACGAAGAGGGTGAAAGATTCGTGATGAAGGTGAGTTGCTAGGACATTTTCAAGTATCACTTACAAGAGAATTAAACTATCATTATCAAATAGAAATTTTGGTGCTTTCATTAAACATAGGTGGTTGTATCTTGAAAATGATAATCTTGCTTCTTCAGGGAACTTAGAGAGAACAGCTGAAAAGCCCTCACAGCATCAATAGCCATCTGCAAATCAACAAAATCAGCAGGAAAAATGCCACCTCCACTTGGAGAAGATAAACTTATGAAAACTCGAGTGTTTTCAGAAGAATTAATGAAGTGAAAGAAGAGAGAGAGAGAGAGATTACGCGTTACAAAATGAGAGTTGAGTTGAGGAGTTGTAACGCTCGCCTAGCTTGCTGCTTGCTTCGTTGTTTTCTGCTGGTTTTGGGGTTGACTCAGAGTTGATTCCTTCTTCTTCTGTTTGAGAATTATTATTGAAGGGGCAGTTAAAAACAACAGTGATTTGCTGAATTCAACGCATATATAGAGCTTAATATTATTGGACGGGTTTAGAAGATTGCTTGTTGAATTGGGTTTTAGCTTTCAGGAGGGCTTATGGATTCCCTATTCCTTTTATGGTTGGACAAAAGCAAATATTTCATCTTCCAAGCCTTTACGTGTACATTTGGTTAACATTATAAAAAACCCTTTTTTTATTTAATTAAAAAATAAATTTTAAATTATTATAATTGCCTTTATCTATCAAAATTTAAGTGTTAACATATATATGTATATATAAGATGAATATTTTTATTTATTTATTTCTTATTATTTGGTAAATTTTAGTATGAAAATTTTAGTGATAAAATTGTAAAAAAAGAAAAAAAGAAAATTAAAAGATAGAAAAAGAGTAATTAAAGACGAAAGGAAAGTATAAAAAGAGCTTCATTGGTCGCGGAGCTCCCTCGTGTTTGTTCTCTGAGCAATTCGGGTCGAATTATTCTCCTCAACTTCTTAGAATCGGGTCAAAAGTTTGAAGCGAAGACAACTCGAGTAATCTGGTTTATTGAGAGTTTAAGCTTTAAACAAGATGAGTGGTCCAAAGAAGAGGACGTTTCAAATAGAGGCGTTCAAGCACCGGGTCGTGGTGGATCCGAAGTACGCAGAGAAGACATGGAAGATTTTGGAGCATGCGATTCACGAGATTTACAATCACAACGCTAGTGGACTTAGCTTTGAAGAGCTTTATAGGTCCATTTCTCAGCCTTTTGTGCGATGAAAATTTGTGCTTTATGTGTCAACTGTTACTGGGAATTGATTATAGTTTTTCAGAGATTGATTGTTATTTATTGTTTGTTAAGTGTTTTTGAGTTGATTTGTTGATTTTGCAAATGGGTTTTTGGTTTTGTGTGTTTCTGTTTTGCGGGTGTTGTGGTTTGGAGATTTTGAATAGCTTTGAATTTGAACTATTGGGTTGTGAAGAATGTATAGTGTTACAGAGAAGTTCATTATAATTGGTTGAGATGTATTGTTTGTGTTGACGGGTTCTTTCTTTTGTGTGATTATGTTTTGTGGGTATTGCTTAGAAATGACCTTAATCAATTCTAAGAGTGTGATTAGTTAGGCTGATTACTGAAATTTTGTCAGTTTCTTTCTGTTTTAGCAATCATGCGGCGATCAGTGAGGTGCAAGATAGGGGATTAAGTCTATATAATAATGGGAAAGCAGCTCGATTGACTATTATGTTTCGTCTGTTTACCTCGTGTATATTGGGTTTTGGAGAACTATCTTCTCTTGTAATTCTGTGATAATGAATAAGAAACAGGTCACTTGTTCAAGAATATTGCCGTGTGTATACTCAGCTAGATGTATTTCTGTTTCTTTTTTCCTTTTATCTCTTGTTTCCTCCTTGATCTTTTACTTATTCCCAGTATATTAGTTACCGTAAAATCACATGTTATGTTTCTCATTCTTATTGGAATTGCATGTATTGGTTTATACAAGTCATAAACTGAACTTTTGATCAAATAATTTTAAAGGCTAATTATTGAAATTGTTTGGATAGAATACTTATTTTTCTGGAAAAGTAACTTTGCCTTAGTAATCAATAGTTTATATCCTGCTGTGTCTTAGAGGGTGGTTTTATGGATATCTCTTTTTCTCTCTTCACCATTGTACCCAGAGAATTAGACTTGAAATTGATTATGGTACCGTTTTATTACCTTTAAAATGTTAGTGGATGTTTATGGGTTATTTATCATATTGTTGTATTTGGGGACGATTTGGAAGTATTATTTCTTTCTCTTTGTTTGTTTGTTTTCCCTCATTTGACTGGTTTATTCTTGATAACTAGTGAATTCTGTAGTACTGAATGTGTAAATCAATTTCTTGTTGTTGGAAGTATTTTGTTTTGCTCTTTGCTTGTTTGCGTATTACCAAACTCCTTGGATTGTTTGGTTTATATTTTCTTCAATTGTTATTACCTATAGTTTCAAGAATTCTTTTGATGTTTATGTAAATTCTGTTTAGTGGCATCTGATATTTAGTCGGCGTGATTCTTTTTAACTAATGCTTCTGATGTTCACATACTTCATCATATTCAGGAATGCTTACAATATGGTGCTGCACAAATTCGGTGAGAAACTCTACTCTGGACTTGTGACCACAATGACTTTTCATCTAACAGAAATATGCAAATCAATTGAAGCTGCTCAGGGGGGGCTATTCTTGGAAGAGCTGAACAGAAAATGGGCAGATCATAACAAGGCATTGCAAATGATTAGAGACATATTAATGTACATGGATAGGACTTTCATCCCAAGCACCCACAAGACACCAGTACATGAGCTAGGGTTGAATCTGTGGAGGGATGTTGTTATTCACTCCAGCAAAATCCAGACTAGGCTTCAGGATACACTTCTTGAACTTGTACGGAGAGAAAGGAGTGGTGAAGTTATTAACAGAGGCTTGATGAGAAATATTACAAAGATGCTCATGGATTTAGGTTCTTTTGTTTACCAGGATGATTTTGAGAAGCATTTTCTTGAGGTTTCGGCTGATTTTTACCGTCTTGAATCTCAGGAGTTCATAGAGTCTTGTGATTGTGGGGAGTACTTAAAGAAAGCTGAAAGACGTCTAAATGAAGAAATGGAGAGAGTGTCTCATTACTTGGATGTAAAAAGTGAAAGCAAAATAACTAATGTGGTGGAAAGGGAAATGATTGAAAGTCACATGCAAAGACTAGTTCATATGGAGAACTCTGGCATTGTTAATATGCTTGTGGATGACAAATATGAGGACCTGGGAAGGATGTATTCTTTATTCCGCCGGGTTCCAAATGGTCTTATTTTAATAAGAGATGTCATGACTTCTTACATTCGTGATACTGGTAAGCAGCTAGTTATTGATCCGGAAAGATTAAAGGATCCTGTAGATTTTGTGCAACGTCTTTTGGATTTAAAGGATAAATATGACAAGATTATCAGTACAGCATTTAACAATGACAAGACGTTCCAAAATGCTTTAAATTCGTCTTTTGAGTTCTTCATTAACCTGAATGCTCGGTCTCCTGAATTTATTTCCTTGTTTGTGGATGACAAGCTCCGAAAAGGACTGAGAGGGGTTAGTGAGGAGGACATAGAGAATGTACTTGATAAAGTCATGATGCTCTTCCGTTACCTCCAGGAGAAAGATGTATTTGAGAAGTACTACAAGCAACACTTAGCCAAGAGGCTTCTTTCAGGGAAAACAGTCTCTGATGATGCAGAAAGAAGTCTGATTGTTAAACTCAAAACAGAGTGTGGATATCAATTCACTTCAAAGTTGGAGGGTATGTTCACTGATATGAAGACATCCCAGGATACAATGCAAGGATTCTATGCAAGTTTGGGTTCTGATTTCGGGGATTCTCCCACCTTAACTGTCCAGGTGCTCACTACAGGTTCTTGGCCTACTCAACCAAGTGCTACATGCAATCTTCCTGCAGAAATACTGGGAATATGTGAGAAATTTAGGAACTATTATCTTGGGACACATACGGGGCGGAGATTGTCCTGGCAAACAAATATGGGTACAGCTGATTTGAAAGCAACCTTCGGGAAAGGACAGAAGCATGAGTTGAATGTTTCCACTTACCAGATGTGTGTGCTGATGCTGTTCAATAATGCTGATCAGTTGAGTTACAAAGAAATTGAGCAGGCCACAGAAATACCTGCCTCAGACTTGAAGAGGTGTCTGCAGTCTCTGGCCTGTGTTAAGGGGAAAAACGTTCTACGGAAGGAACCCATGAGCAAGGACATAGCCGAGGATGATGCCTTCTTCTTCAATGACAAGTTCACAAGCAAGTTTGTCAAGGTTAAGATAGGCACTGTGGTTGCACAAAGGGAGACTGAACCAGAAAATCAGGAAACCAGGCAAAGAGTGGAAGAAGATAGGAAACCCCAGATTGAGGCAGCAGTTGTTAGGATCATGAAGGCAAGACGGGTGTTGGATCACAATAACATTGTCACTGAGGTTACAAAGCAGCTGCAGTCCCGGTTTCTGCCAAATCCTGTTGTAATTAAAAAGCGAATAGAGTCTCTTATCGAGAGGGAGTTCCTAGAGAGGGATAAAGCGGATAGGAAATTATATCGGTACCTTGCTTGAAAAAAAAACTGTGTTGTTTTTTCACCTTGTCAGGGCCTTTCACCTGGGTTTGTAATTTCTCCTCCATTTGTAAGTTTGACTGTTGTTCTTGAATTATTACAAGTTCAGGCTGATTTTACTCCAGACATTTCTTTGCTGCATGCTCCACCTCTTTTTTCTTACATTTGGGTTTTATCATTTTCCTTTGTGTTAGGGTTGGTTTTCAGCTGAGCCAATGTTCATTTTGCCTCTGTTATTCACAAAATTTTCAACTTGTGCAACAATTTACCATTTCTGAAAACATTTAATGTATATTAACCACAGTTTAAACTCAGAAATAACAATGTGAAGTAAAATACCCAGAATGTTTTGAAGGAAGCAGAGTTCTAGTTTGGAAGTTGGAGATAAGATATTGGAGGAAACTAAACAGAATGTTTTACATGTGTAATGATCTGTTAAGTTCCCTCCAGTTCTTACATACAACTGATAAAACCACAGCATAAACAGAAATTGATGAGAGAAAGAACTTGGGGTTATGATTTAGAAGTTGAGGTAAGATATTGGAGGAAATTAAATGTATACTACCTATAAATAAAATGTGAGAACCAATTCAGAATGCAAAAATACAAAGTATTTAATGTAAAGGTTATTAAACACCATGAGTTGAGCGTGGTTAGAAATTGGAATTGTTTCCGTTTTGTTAATTGTATACTGGGTTTATGGTGTTGTGTACTTGTATATATGGTACTCAAAAAATTATAATGAATTTCTCTCATTGATAGATGTAAACAGGTTATGTCAAACCACATAAATATCGTGTTTCTTTGTGTAATATGATTTTATTTTTATGTTATTAATCTCGAATATATATTTTCTATTGTACGATCTCTTGACAACAATTAGAAGTAACAATTGTTTTTAACTTCTAGAATTGTTTCCCTGCGGCGCAGTTGAAGTTGGGAAACGATTATTAGAAGTACATAAATAATCATTCTTGCAATTACTGAAACAAATAAATAATGAAAACAAAAAAAGATCACTTCAGCACATAATAGAAAAGTTAAGCCCTTAAGTCAGAGTTTCTTGAAAATAAATTGGAGCCAGGAACAGTTTTGGGTTATATTTTTCATTTGGGCTATAAACACAGAAAAGGAAATCATTTATATGGTTAGGAGATTGAATAGTTAATTAATTTCTTCTCATTTGGGAAGTTACAGTTGGTTTCAAGTTGATGAAGAGGGTGAAATAGTGTGAAAGATTTGTCGTGGAGGTGAGTTGCTGGGACATTTAAGTACACTTACAAGAGAATTAAACAATCATTATCAAATAGAAATTTTGGTGCTTTCATTAAACATAGGTGGTTTTATCTTGAAAATGATAATCTTGCTTCTTCAGGGAACTTACGGAGCAGCTGAAAAGCCCTCACAGTGACACATTAACAATGCAGCCGCTATTTTTAGAACTACTCTTCATCACACACACACAACACAAACTACTCGAAAAGAAAAGAATCAAACAAACTTGAGAAAACTCAAGTGTTTTCAGAAGAATTAATGAAGTGAAAGAAGAGTAAGTAGACGGGGGAGAGAAAGAGAAAGAGAGAGAGAAAGAGAGATGCAAGACTTGACGTGGGCACATACCACAATTATACAGTTGAAGATAGTCTAAGGAGGAGTTATTTAACTCTCTCTTAATCCTTGATGGGATGTTAAATACAGTTGATGGAAGTTATCTTGGTCCCTAGCCTAACCATTTATAAGGATATCATCTTCTCCATCAAAGTGATATTACACAATACAAAATTCTGGAGGCATAGGCTAGAAGACATCTCTCAAACACTCTCTCAAAAATTATCTACCTCTTGGTTTCATTGTAATCCTTGTTTGGCTTTCTACAACATTTAAACAATACGATTGGAGGTAAGTGATTAAATTTTGCATCATTTATATACATGGTATGTCGGGATATTATGGCTCATTTTCCTATTTGTTTCCATGTAAAATTATATGTCTTCAGGAAAACTCTTTAGTAAAGAATATAATTCTAAAGAGGAATATAATTATGAGAATTTAATTAGGAATTGAAATATGAATCATATAGAGAATAGAATATCACATATACTACTTATAAATATAAGGGTGAGAACCAATTCAAGGTTATGAGAGTATGAGAGAATGTGAAAACACATGGTATTTGATGTAAAGGTTATTAAACATCATGGGGAGAGTGTATTAGAAACTAGGATTGTTTCTACTCTAGATACTGGGTTGATTGATCTTTCTGCTCTATTTTGTGTATCGCATTTATGGTGTTGTGTACTCTTGTATATCATATTCATGAAACTATAATGGATTTGTCTCATCCAAGGATATAGGCGGGTTATGCCAAACCACGTAAAATATCATGTCTCTTTATGTGGTATGATTTATTCCTATGTTATTCATTTTGAATGTATGTTTTCCGCTACGCAATCTCCTAACAAGTGGTATCAGAGCTCCAAGTTGCAACCTAGGAGATGAGTTCTTAGGAGATGAGTTCTTTCGAGATGGTGGATGCACATAAAAGACAGACTACAACAGGTTTGAGTTATAAGTGGAGTGGTTCTCAAATCTTGGAGGCAAAATTCGACATGGTTACTATGCGACCTGGATGCTAGCAAAATTCGACATGGTTAACTTGGATGTCATGGTGATGGAGCGTTATCTTCGTCATGTCGTCTTTGTGATGAAAAACTCGTCAAGGTGGAGATTGTTGGGATATTGTGGCTCGTTTTCCTATTTGTCCCCATGTAAAAATGCATGTCTTTAAGAAAACTCTTTAGTAAAGAATACAATTCTAAATAGGAATAGAATTATGAGAGTTCAATTAAGAATTGAAATATGAATCCTATTAAGAATAAAATATCTCGTATACTACATATAAATATATAGGCGAGAACCAATTCAAGGTTATGAGAATATGAGAGAATGTGAGAACATAGGGTATCTAATGTAAGAGTTATTAAACATCATGGGGAGAGTGTCTTAAAAACTAGTATTGTTTCCACTCTAAGTATTGGGTTGAGCGTGGTTAGAAACTAGAATGTTTCCGCTCTGTTTTATCTATCAGGTTTATAGTATTGTGTACTCTTGTATGTCATGTTCATGAAACTATATTGAATTTCTCTCATCCGTGGATATAGACAAGTTAGGTTGAACCACGTAAATATTATGTTTCTTTATATGGTGTGATTTTATTTCTATGTCATTTATCTCGAATGTATGTTATCCTTTGCGCAATCTCCTAACATGTTATTCCACAGGATCAAGATCATGTGTTACAAAATGAGAGTAGAGGAGTTGTAACGCTCGCCTAGCTTGCTGCTTGCTTCGTTGTTTTATGTTGGTTTAATGTTTCACTCAGAGTTGATTCCTTCTTCTCCTGTTACAACTGTGATTTGCTGAATTCAATGGATAAGTAGAGCTTAATATTTCTGGACGGGCACACACACACTCACACTATATATATATATATATATTAACGTATGAATATAATAGTTGATAGTATAACAGTTTGTAAAAGCAACATTATATTAATATTATATATAAGACTCAATTCGAAATGGGGAAGGGTATAGATTGCTTGTTGGATTAGGTTTTAGCTTTTAGGAGGGCTTATGGATTCCCTATTCCTTTTATGATTGGACAAGAGCAAATACTATTTCATCTTTCAACCCTTATCGAGAGGTTACAAAGCAGCTGCAGTCCTGGTTTCAGCCAAATCCTGCTGTAATTAAAAAGCGAAGAGTCCCTTATCGAGAGGGAGTTCCTAGAGAGGGATAAAGTGGATAGGAAATTATATCGGTACCTTGCTGGAAAAAAAAAATACTGTTTTGTTTTTTCACCTTGTCAGGGCCTTTCACCTGGGTTTGTAATTTCTCCTCCATTTGTAATATAAATTTCTGAAAACATTTAATGTATATTAACCACAGTTTAAACTCAGAAATAACAAAGTGAAATGAAGTACCCAGAATGTTTTGAAGGAAGCAGAGTCTAGTTTAGAAGTTGGAGATAAGATATTGGAGGAAACTAAAACAGGTTTTTTACATGTGTTTTACCCGGAAAACAAAGGGCTGACGTGGGAAGAGTCACTTACGGGTGACCTGCTCCCGTCAGGGCAACATGCACACGTCAGACCTGCAAAGTAATGTGGAGCTCACACGCGTCCATTCCTCTGCAGCAAGTCGTGCGAAATCAGCTTGGAAAAAGGAAAATGGACGTAAAGTCGGATTACACCTGACAATCACACCAACCCATGGATTTAATGATGATTACACGCCTCATTTGTATAAAATGAAGAAAACCCCTCCATTAAGGGGATTCGGCCATTCTTTACAAAAAATAACTCTCTCTCTTGTAAAAGAAAAACACTTACTTTTCATAACTTTTTGTACTCAGTCCGCTTCGCGACCTGACCCACACTAATATCAATACAACTCAGTGGACGTAGGACGTCTACTTAGCATCCGAACCACTTTAAATTTTTCCCTGCATTTATTTCATTTCATATATCCATTATCACGTGCATTAATTCATCAAAGAGCAAAACCCACGTGACATTGGTTGGTGCCGAAAACCAGCATCAACAGTTTGGCGCTAGAAGGAGGGCTGATTTAGCGTCTACCCTTCATCAGGAGAATCTTTGACCTACTGGTCTTACAGCTACATGGCCCGCCAATCTGAACCTGAGCAGGGGAACCAAATGTTGAAGGAGCCCCCGCGACCCGAGGGACACCCCTTCCAGCATACCCTAGTATCGCAAAATGCTGTTGGGAATACCCAGCAGCTCCGCAACTGGACCCTGCCATCCGAAGCTACCTGGAGAGGTTCGACAATACTCTCAGACGGTCAACCAGAGGTTGGACCGTCTGGACCAAGGCATGTCATCCCGACAGCCGGAGCGGTACAACCGCCAAAAACGCCCGCAGGTCGCGCGAAAGCGCGGCAAAGGCGATAGCCCGTGCCGCGAGCACTGCACGCGTAAACGCAAGGGTAAGCAGTCAAAAAGCCTACGGGCTCCCAAGGGCCAGCGAATACAAAGGGCACCCCGAGCAGGTGTCAGCAAAGCTGAACTCGGTGAAAAAGTAGATCCAGCTGTCCCATGCC